AGGTAACCGGTTGTCATTTCGTTTGTCATCTGTGTAATGTGATGATCCGTGAGGTCGGTTGATGCGGTTACCGGTTCGTTGCTTGTCGGTCTCGATGTCCTGAGCCATCTCGAACCATTGACTGGGAGTCTTGAAGCGTCGGCCATAGAAGTATTCACGGTATTCAGGGAGTAGGCCTTCCGTGAGTAGGTTTGCTCTTTGAGTGTCGGTATAGTTTTGGAGACGTCTTAGGATCTCCATTTTATCATCGAAGTATGCGCGGATTGACTCCGATCGTTGTTGGCGCCGGCGGTTGGCGGCCACTTCTGGAGGAATGTCCAGTCGGGTATATCGGTTGGTAAGCAGTTGCTTAGCTTTAATCCAATTGATGGATGTGTCGATGAGTAGATCTGAGCCGTAATAGTTGGCTGCGTCTGATTCGAGGAACTCAACGATTTTGATGAGTTTGTTATCATCTGTGAGATGAGCGAAGACTCTGTCGAAGATTAAGAGGAATGCTTCGATACGTAGAGATGAGTCTTTAGTACCATTAAACTTTGGTATCTTCACTGAGAGCATCGGTGCTGAGCCAGTGGTAGAGGATCCGGTGGTTACTGAGTTACCGTTTGTACCGATTGGTACACAATTAGATGAGATACCGGTTGTGTTGTCTGCGATGGCATTAACCGGATTTAGTGTATCGTTGTCTTCACCATTGATGGACATGTCTGATGTGTTGTTGGTTACTGTGTTGTCTGAATCGCTATTAGTTGAGATATCTCGTCGAAGATATGGAGTTCCGTGTCTAGTGAACCCTGTATTGATAGTCGTCATCCAATACGCGAAGATATGGATCTTTTAATGATCTGTGCCGACTGCGCCAATTGTTGTGCCTGAGTTTGTATGTTTGGACACAACTTAAAGGAATAGGAGAGCACCGGTTGTTATGCGTGGGTCGGTATGAGACCTACAACCGATTATCAACCAATTCCTTATAGATTATCACCTGAAGGGTCGGTATGAGACCTATCGGATGACAAAAGGGTAGATCACTTGCAGTAGTGGTGGCCAAGCATAAAGCTAGAGCTGATCCCAATCTGGATTTTTGTCCTATCTCTTGATATCACGCGATACGGAACGGTAGGTTAGAGTTGATGGACAACCGCGTTGTATGTATGTCTTGAATGATGTGAACAACCGGTTGGACTCTTGAAGTGATAGTTTCAATGATGATAATAGCGATGGTAATGAATCGTATGATTAACACAGGTATAAGATAATTATAACAATTTATTGATTAGTTTAAGACAATTGAGGATACAATGGATTGTATGGTTAAAATGGTGCTATCAGTGGAGCACATGTATGATGTGAGTACAGTATTGTATGGGAGTCAGTATGACTGCTATGTATGACGGCTGGCACTGTACTAAAGTATGTGTATACTGTAGTACAGTATTTATAGTGTTTGAGAGAGGACGGGTAGGTATAGGGAATGGTTAGCTATCATTGGATAGTTTGAATGTGGGAACCGTTGAACAGTTAGTTTGGTGCCAGAGGTCTGAGGTCAGCAACCGGTAAGTATAAGGAAAAAAATACTTTATAACTAAATTAGCTTAAGGTAATGTAGTGGACACTACACTCCCCGGCGGTTTAAGACTGGTCAAAGAGTTAAACGGTTGAGTGAGACGATGTGGACCAGGAGTGAGACGTTTAGCCGGTTGTGATGGATGTCCGCGTTGAGAGTCCGGTAATTGGAGTCGTGTGTTACGGAATCGTAGAGTGGGAGAGTTGGATGGGATGCGATGGATATTACCGGAAATATGTTTGTTGTATGTATCGATGCGTGAGAGTCGGGACTGTTGAGGGCGAATAACCGGATGTACAGCGCGTAGTGGTGTAACGGTAATAGTAGGTGTGATGTCCCTTAAGTAATGCCGATGTTTGTATGGATGCGATGGTTTTGCGGCATTAGAAGTCGTATTGATTGGACGGTAGTCTTTACACAAGCGAGGTTTTCCGTCTGTATTCATCGTCGAAGTGATCGGTAAAGCGTTACGGCTGTCCCGAGAAACATGGATTTGGTGATCCTTCACTTGACGTGCAGCTTTGGCTGCAAATGGATGCGATTGACGGGTGCGCTGTGCGGTGGACTGTTTGTCTATCTTTACGATGCGGTGCTTTTGTTTGTATATATGGCCATTGGATTTGTTAGGCAACCGGTTTGGAGAAGGTATACGACTGATGAGATTGCAGTAACCGGTTGATGGCCCTGAAGTGGATGAGTTTCTCTGTTGTTGCCATTTGAATGATACGGTTTGTGTCTGTGTGTCAATGATGACACCGTATTGGCCAAGAGATTGGAGAGATAGCAGTAATGTGTAATGAAATCCGTTGATGACCTGTGCTTTGATGGTGCGGGTCATCCGATTGATGGTTAAGTCAAATGTGACTTCTCCGAGAGTACGAGCTGATCCACGCGCCAGTGATACGTCGGTAGAGCGGCGGCGGTCAATATGGAGTCGGAGGTGTTTGACGACATCTAATGGTATGATGTCTACAGTTGATCCGGGATCGGCGAAGGCTGATAGCTCGAAGCGATTGATGCGGCCCGGGATCAATATCATATCCAGTGGTTTGGCTTCGGTAGCCATAACTTTGTTACGGATTAGATGTGAAGATGCGGCTGATATATGGGTAGGTGGTCCATTTGTGGAACCTGTGTTTGGATTGATAGCTGCTGGAGAACCAGATTTGTTTGGGCAATCCTTATGGTAATGCCATGAAGTGATGCCAAGATCTCTGCAGATACGGCAGGAATAGGGCGGACGTTGTTTGTCTTTGTTGTCGCGTTTAGGTAACCGGTTGTCATTTCGTTTGTCATCTGTGTAATGTGATGATCCGTGAGGTCGGTTGATGCGGTTACCGGTTCGTTGCTTGTCGGTCTCGATGTCCTGAGCCATCTCGAACCATTGACTGGGAGTCTTGAAGCGTCGGCCATAGAAGTATTCACGGTATTCAGGGAGTAGGCCTTCCGTGAGTAGGTTTGCTCTTTGAGTGTCGGTATAGTTTTGGAGACGTCTTAGGATCTCCATTTTATCATCGAAGTATGCGCGGATTGACTCCGATCGTTGTTGGCGCCGGCGGTTGGCGGCCACTTCTGGAGGAATGTCCAGTCGGGTATATCGGTTGGTAAGCAGTTGCTTAGCTTTAATCCAATTGATGGATGTGTCGATGAGTAGATCTGAGCCGTAATAGTTGGCTGCGTCTGATTCGAGGAACTCAACGATTTTGATGAGTTTGTTATCATCTGTGAGATGAGCGAAGACTCTGTCGAAGATTAAGAGGAATGCTTCGATACGTAGAGATGAGTCTTTAGTACCATTAAACTTTGGTATCTTCACTGAGAGCATCGGTGCTGAGCCAGTGGTAGAGGATCCGGTGGTTACTGAGTTACCGTTTGTACCGATTGGTACACAATTAGATGAGATACCGGTTGTGTTGTCTGCGATGGCATTAACCGGATTTAGTGTATCGTTGTCTTCACCATTGATGGACATGTCTGATGTGTTGTTGGTTACTGTGTTGTCTGAATCGCTATTAGTTGAGATATCTCGTCGAAGATATGGAGTTCCGTGTCTAGTGAACCCTGTATTGATAGTCGTCATCCAATACGCGAAGATATGGATCTTTTAATGATCTGTGCCGACTGCGCCAATTGTTGTGCCTGAGTTTGTATGTTTGGACACAACTTAAAGGAATAGGAGAGCACCGGTTGTTATGCGTGGGTCGGTATGAGACCTACAACCGATTATCAACCAATTCCTTATAGATTATCACCTGAAGGGTCGGTATGAGACCTATCGGATGACAAAAGGGTAGATCACTTGCAGTAGTGGTGGCCAAGCATAAAGCTAGAGCTGATCCCAATCTGGATTTTTGTCCTATCTCTTGATATCACGCGATACGGAACGGTAGGTTAGAGTTGATGGACAACCGCGTTGTATGTATGTCTTGAATGATGTGAACAACCGGTTGGACTCTTGAAGTGATAGTTTCAATGATGATAATAGCGATGGTAATGAATCGTATGATTAACACAGGTATAAGATAATTATAACAATTTATTGATTAGTTTAAGACAATTGAGGATACAATGGATTGTATGGTTAAAATGGTGCTATCAGTGGAGCACATGTATGATGTGAGTACAGTATTGTATGGGAGTCAGTATGACTGCTATGTATGACGGCTGGCACTGTACTAAAGTATGTGTATACTGTAGTACAGTATTTATAGTGTTTGAGAGAGGACGGGTAGGTATAGGGAATGGTTAGCTATCATTGGATAGTTTGAATGTGGGAACCGTTGAACAGTTAGTTTGGTGCCAGAGGTCTGAGGTCAGCAACCGGTAAGTATAAGGAAAAAAATACTTTATAACTAAATTAGCTTAAGGTAATGTAGTGGACACTACAATATATTTTAAACATTTGTAGAAAATTAATAATTTAAATTAAAATAATACTATTATTATTGACATAATTATTATTAAATATAATGTTAAACAATTGATATTGATATTTTTAATTTGTATATTTATATACTTTTGATATTTTATATCTATAATATTTATTACATAAGTAAAGATATTAATATAAATTTATGTATTATTAATTGATTATATTATATAATATTATAATTATTTTTGTACATTTTCATATTTATCATATTTGTCTAATGTTATTATTATTGCATTATTTTTTATTAAACTAAAGTAAAGTTTATTTGAAAGAAAAATAGACAATAAACTACTGTATTTTTAATTAATCATTTAAGTTTATCTAATTAATTCAATAAACAAATTAATAAAAACCATTTTTACTTTATATATTTATATATAAAACAAATATAATATATAATCATAATATAGAAATAACATCATTATCTCAAATAATTAATATAAACAAATTATTATTAAAAATTATTATATATACTACTATATCTCTATATTATTTAACTCATTTTAACCATTTTTTCAATAAGTGTTTTTAGTAATTAAATAACAAAATGATTTTTAATTTTTTAACTAATAAACTATTAATTATATATTTTATTTGTAATATATTGTTGATAGTTAACTGTAATAATGATGATGACGATGATATTGAATTTACCGGTCCCACTACAGACGTATGAATTAATTATAAATTTAATTAATATATAAAAAAAAATTAGATCCGAGTCTATATAATGTAGTATTTATTAAACATTATACAGTATATGCTTATAGTTTATTAAACTCATAGCTATTTGAAAATAAAAATATCTATTGATAAACATTTTACAAATATTATTGCTAATTATTAATATTTGATTTTATAATTAAATATATTGTAAGATATTATTATTATTATATAATATATAAACAGAAGGGAAAGTGGTTTGAGAGCCGATGGAACCGCTGGAAAGCCCTGTCGGCAGAACAGAAACAAAACGTGTCGGTAGTCGTAGACATATGTGGAGCCTATGACCTTGGCTTTCATTGTACCAAATTTATTGGTCAGTCGGGTCGAGAAGGGACCAATTGTGATCACTATTGTTGCGCACAGGGATACATAAGCGGCTATTGTGATAACGAATTGTCGATCAATATGGATGTCATACGTCCCTTACAACGGGGCAAACATACGACCAATAATGTGGTGTTTGGGGCCGTCTGTCGGTGCAGTAATGACTGGAAAGACGTTTCTTGTAAATCGGATGACGGAATCTTTGGCATTGAATGTCCCAATGTTTTGGGTACATGTGATCGACATTGTTGTCGAAAACGGTATGATTATGGCCGATGTGAGGGCAGGTTTGGCCTACAATGCAATTGTTATAATAAAACTAGAGATCATTTATAATATTTTATGAAAAATTGTTTGTATTCAGGACTTTACTTTAGTATGCATTTAGCAAACAAATAAATAATTATTTTATAAAAACAAATATAACAATAATGTTGTTTGGCTTATCAATTAAAAATAAAAATTTAACATTATTTTTTTATTTGATAACTTTTATTAATATTTGTTTTGTTTAGGTTTGTAGTTTAATATGTTTAAAACTTTAAAACTTATTAATTATTATAAAACTCTTTACTATCGATAATATAATATCGTTTAATACGAGATTAAAATAATACAGTATTACCTATATATGAAAATAACAATATATGTATGTAATATTATTTGTAAAAATCAATAGTATTATTGAGTAAAAAAAGATATTTAGGATATATTTCACGAGAGATTACAATACAAGTGAATTAAATAAATAACAAAAAAACAAATTAAAATTTTATAGTATTAACGGTCAACTGTTATACACAATATTACTGTAATAAGTCTTTAATTATCGGTTCAAATAGTAGAGGAAAAAGAGATAAATTGATTTTGAAACAAAAAAAATCAATTTATAATCACTTGAATAGTCAGTAGTTTTAACCATCAATGCAAATGTCGACCAAATTACTGTCCAATACTATGGGTTTGATATTGATTATCGGCTTTCTGTCGGTAACAGTAGTGTCGGCACTCGATTTAAAGACACGTATGTCGGCAAATGTGGACAACTATGAAGTGGTTACCACTGTTCCCGCGGCTACTGGTGAATGGCTGTCGGCCAACGGTCCAAACAAAACCAACAGCCTTATCAACGAAACAGTTGCCGATAGTCAACAGTCATTGACAAACGATAGTTCACTGATCGGCAAACTATACGGCAAATTTGAGCGCCAACTATCGGAAGCGCTGGACATCAAAGTCAACATATCGATGGCCAGCATATTGTGGACAGTATTTGCCATTGGTCTGTTCGTTGGCCTTGTATTTGGCATCACTTGCGGCTGTTGTCTGGGCTGTATGCTGACCAATGAGCGACGCTGTTGCATGTGTTTCGGCGCCACTGATGATGACGACGATGGAGATGAGAAAAGGGATGTGCGTAAAACTGCCAAAAAGGTCGGCACCGTTAAGGACACAGCAGCTCGTGGCCGTTGCCGCCGACTCGCCGATCCGTCGCCCAGTTTATGGTCGCGTATGGCGCCCTCTACTCGTAATTCGCCGATTACCACACAGCCGGCACCGGCAGCACCGGGATGGCGGACATTCCGCTAAGATTGTGTGCACAGTATCTGCTATTTGGTGTCGGTTTCCATTACATACCAGTAGTTCATTAATTATTATTATTATTATTTAAATTAATACATTATTTTCTAGGTTTAACTATTTATTTGTCTAAATATTATAAATTTTAAGTTTTTGTTATTTTTTTGTTGTCTAAATTCAATGTATTAAATGAATATATTTGTTTTATTGTGAAAAATGATTTACTGTTATTTTTTTATTTATTTGTTTAAATAACAAAAAATAAGTCAACTTTTTAAAAATATATTTTTTATTTCTTTTAGTTTAATAAAGTTTTATTTTATTAATTTTATTTAGTTAACTTAATCTCTGACATTACTAATTAATATCAATCATTATATTTTTTTATATTATTATTTGCTTTAGTATATTTATATATATATTGCTGATATTAAATTGTATATATTGATTATGTATGTAATATAAATATTATATTAATGATTGCTGATGTTTTTGAAATTTTGAAACATATTAGATATTTTAAATAAAATTATGTAATCAATGTCAAATAATGATTTAAAGATCTATTTTTGAATATAAGAAATAAAATTATTTTTTTAATAAAAAAATTGTTATATTACGAAAATATAAAATAATGCATTACATTATTTTTTAACTTTTGATAAATAATTTTTAATTTTAATGTAAATATAATAAATTTTGTGATAACTTAGTTATCAATATTGGATATTTTTGGAAAAATAAATATTAAATAAAATTGTCTAAATAAATTAAATCTTTATAAAAAATATATTTATTATATTTACTATCGAATAGTAGATGTTATATTACATATTACATGTTAATACATTTAATTAAGACAAATTGATCGTTAAATAGATAAAATATATATATATATATATATATATTTAGAAATAATATTTTAATATAACTGAACTTCAATCAGAATTACATTATTTTAAATAACACAAAAAAATACTTTCATTTTTTATATAATTTAAAATAAAAACAGTTTTAGTGTTTTCTTAATATCATTAGTAAAGATTGGATAACATTTATAAATATTTAGACTAATTTGCAAAATTAAAGATAAAACTATTTATAAAATAGTTGGTATAAGCTTTAATACATATATTATTTTTAATTTTTGTATATTAAAAAATAATTGATTTTTAATAAAATAACATAAATTGAGATATAGTTTATATAAACTTATATTGAATTTAAATGTATTTATTTAAATATTTAGTTTTGTGTTTACTGGCAATAATTAATTGTAAGTATGCAAAGAATAAACTGTATTTTATTTGAATTTATAAACTTTTTCTAAATGCTTTACAAAATGTAATACAAAATTATTATTATTATTAATTAAATAAAAGCACATTATATAACATGTTATATATTGACTGATGAAGAAAATACTGATTTTGATGGACCAACCACTCAGGTTAGCCAACTTATAGACAATAAATTTTATTAGTCGTTAATTAATATATAATTAAATTACTAAACTGTTTAGACAGGACGTGAGTTGGAGAGCCGACTGAAACTATATCAAGCACTGACACCCGATCAACGAACCAATGTTACCGCCGTAGCCGAGGTGTGCGGCAAACATGACCTCCCGGTCCAGTGTACAGCAGTATTGGGTGCATCGGTCCGGTCAAACGACAATTGCGACAGTTATTGTTGTTCACAGGGAAGGCTAAGCGGTTTTTGTCGGACACAGTTAACCAATTTGATTGTCAAGGATCCACTTAAAGCCGATATGTACGTAAAATTTGAACCCACCCTATCGTCACAGTGTTTGTGCACCGATTCATGGAAAGACGCCTCCTGTCGACCTGATGGCTCATTTCTTGGCATTCATTGTCCCGATGAGTGGTCGTGTAGTCACTATTGTTGTCGTCGCAGATTTACCGACGGAAAATGTGTCGGTCTTTTGCATCTCAAATGTCATTGTTTTAATAGTAGTAAAGTTGATAACAAATTTGCATTATAATAATTTTAACTTTAATACCATAAATACCTGTATATTAATTTTTATTGATTTTAATGTTAATTGTTTTTTTCAGGTAATAGTTATAATTTTTATGGTCACTTATATTAGTATATCATATGTTTTCTATGAAATAATGCTAAATTAATGCTATTAAAATTAAAATTAATTAACAATCTTAATAATTTTACTTAATACTTAAAATATATTTTAATTAATTATTATTATTAAAAACCAAACTATTGATTATTATAATTCATTTCATAATTCAATTGATTTTATGTCTACAAAACAGTATAACTTTAGTTTATATTTGTTTCAAGGTTATTTTTTAATAAATAAATGTTAGTAATTTAGCATAGTTTATAGCGCATGTTCAATTATACCTGTTTTATTTGTTGCATAAGTTATATGTAATACTTGATAATACTGTTTATTTATATTACGCATACATTTATGTAATGTAATATATAAAACAAATAAAAATTTAAAAGTATTTTTCAAATAATTTATTTTGAATTTAGTTATTAAATCAATTTTTTTTAAATGTCAAAAAATTATATCCGAGACTCATTTGATCGTTTTGGTGATGACTTGTGTCAACACATTCTCAGCTATCAATCGATTGATGATAAGCTCCGAACAGAGTGTGTTAGCCGACAATGGCATCGACTGACATACCGGAGCCAACAGGTGCTCAAAGTGTGGCAATTGTTTTGTACATATCATAGATTACAACAACCGGAAGGTTTGCAATCATTTGAGATATTATTGAAAAAATGTGATAATATATCACATATTGAGTTATGTGGTATTGAATATAATATTAGAGATAATGTTATTGAATTGATTAAGAAATTGTGTCGACAGTTGAAGACAGTCGACATGATCTACGAGTGTTTTATGACACAAATCATAATAACTAACTTTCCTCAACAGCTAAACAAATTAGTCTTTGATAAGTATGAAGAGATAAATGATGAGCTCAGGGATCAACTCAAGCAATGTACTAATATTACATCAATTAATACTAACTATTGCTGGGATATCAATACACTGTTTGATGTTTTCGGTGATGAACCACTGGAACCAGTATTTAAAAGACTTAAAAGTATATCATTTTTCTACAAACAAGACTACTCTGACAGCAATTGTTTTGAACAATTAGTTCAAAACTATGGCAAACAATTGAAAAGTTTGTATATTTTAATCGACTCTGAATTAGACGATAATCTATTGAACCGATTGGCCAAAGGTGTGACACAAATGCAAGAACTGGAATATCTTGAGCTCGGCTTTTGGTTTCAACAGCGCATCAAAAGTCATGTCATACCAGAAATTGGCCGCAATTTAAGTAAAAACATAAAATCAATGAAAATAATTTTGAACGGCTGTAGAAAAGCTAACGACTGTTCGGATATTATGCAAATTATTGGCCAATTTTTTCCATATTTACAGCGACTAACAATAAACGGCTATTTTAATGAACCTTTTGTTTTAAACCCTCAAACTATGGACGGCATGAAAATGTTACGACATTTTACATTTCGGTCGTATTATTCTAATCTAAGTTTTACACATTTTGATGACCGGTTTTTCGCTGATATTGATCGCCGATTACCGCGACTTCAAACACTGGACATACATAACGTAAACATAACTGATCCGACATCCATACAATCATTGACTAAATTGTCAAAAATACAGTTTATTAATATTAATGGTGTCATTGGTATAGAACAACAAGTTATCAAAAATTTATTAGAATTATGTCCAAAATTAATTAAAATTATTATTAATTAATTTTTTTTTTAAAAATTAAATATAATACTTATTGATATAAACTTTTTAAATATTATTTTTCTAATTTCAATTCATAAATTTATATTGAAATAATTGATTTTCTAAATAATCTAAATATTATTTATTGAAATTTATTGAAATTAATCTGAAATAAATTTGATTATAAAAATATGTAAAAAAAATAATTAAAAATATTTTAGTTAAATCTGATTTTTATGATAAAATACTTTTGTTAGGTTTATTTCAATGATATTTATATTTTTTTATAACTTTTAAACAGTGAACGACATCTGCTAACAATTTATAGTATTAATTAAATAATTTAAAACTAATATTATGTTATACTAATGTACAGTAATGTATATGTATAATAAAATTAATAATTTACTTTTTATTAAATTAAGCAAAAAAATTCATTTAATAAAATATCATGATATTAATTGCTAGACTGTCCATTTAAAGGTGCTAAACACTAGTTTTAAGTCATTATAAAAGTTAGTAAATAAAATTGGCAAATAGTTACTTAAATGTTATTTATTTTCAAGCAATTTTTACTAATATACTAATTTTCCATTTTTATCACTAAAATTGTCTAAAATTAGAGGATTTTAGTCAAAAATTAAGCAAAAGTTAACTAAAAGTTGAAAAAACAAATAAAAGATTTTTATAAACGATTTAAAATTTTGTATAAATTCTTATTTTTATATCATATACTTATTTATTTAATATGAGTACTCATTTTCCGAAATCGGTAAAAATAGTTAAATAACTTCAATTGGATACCCTATTAATTACTAATAGAAACTAATGAGATAAAGTCTAAATATTTTTTAAAACATTATTTTCTACTTATTTAACATTTTATTAAATATAATTTTAAAATACAAAAAAAAATTGTGTTTTAAATACAATTTTAATAAAATTAATAGTTTTACAATTAATAATTATTACGAACATTATTATCATTATTATATTAAATTTAATGAAATACAGTACTAACATTTATTTCATATATATTAAGTACATATACTGTATAATTTATAAATTTATATTTAATTAAATTATTAAAAAATCATTTTTTATAATAACACATTTGAGGTTTTATTTAATAGATTTAATTGAATAGATTTTGAAAAAAAAGTTTTGCAACAATAATGCTGTTTAAAGTTATTATAGCATTAGCTTTGCTAACAGTACTAACATTGCCTTTGGCTAAAGGCCTCAGAATTAAACGGGAATCGGACGACACCGATGACGTACTGCCGTCCGGTATTAAGGTAGAGCTTGTTTGTCATACAATTTTTAAACTACCTGTTCAATGAATATACAGTTCAATAAGCATCCGTACATTTTTATCTATCTTATTGCTATATAAATATATAGCTAGGTTCTCAACAGGACTCCCAGTCCAGTCAGGAGCACACAGCAAGCAAACAGAGTGCCGCCTCCCAGCAAACCCATATGGGTCAACAACAGTTGGCCGCATCGTTCGGCACAAAACACTATCTGCTTCAACAACAGATGTCAATGGGTCAACAATTGGCCAAATTGGGCAAAAAGACGGCTATCCAGCAGCTGATCGATTCACAGAAACAATCGGTCGCTAACGGAAAGGTTCACAAAAAAGTGTTCACAAAAAGTAATGAAGATTTTGAAACATTGTCGGGAAATGATGATGAGGTCAAAGATATAGTGACCGGAAGTAGCACTGAGAAGACCATCGGAAGCAGCACTGAGAAGACCATCGGAAGCAACACTGAGATGATCACCCAAACAACTACTATTTCAACTACTATGCCAACTACTACTACTACTATAACCGGTAATATTATCACTACTACTACTACTTCTAATAATAATAATAATATTAATAATAATAAAACTGATGCTATCAATTCTGTAATACCAATATTATAATATTATCTTTTAAAAAATTGTTATTATATTTGTTTTCTATAATTATAATTTTTAGAATTAAAATATTTATTATATTTTTTTGTTTTTATAAAAATAAATCATTTTTAACTCAAATATTTATTATATTTTGATTTATTTTTTATATGATAATAACATTTAACTATCAATGCTTTCATCATTTTGTTAATAGTTTTTTTTAAAACAACCAATTTTTAATATTACCAAAAATTTAAAAAAATATATTTATTATAGTATAAATGACCATATGTTTTTTGATTAAAAACTAAAATTATTATTTCAACAAAAAAACAAAAATTTATGTTAAATATAGTCAAATAATTAGTACATTTACAAATTGCTTAAAGTTTATAAAGACTTTATTAATTCACATGTATTTAGACTAAAAAAAATTAAGTAATTGTATACCAGTGATCACGTAATATATTTCCATATTTAATATTTTAATTAATTAATTTAAAAAAACTAAACTTTAATATACAGTATGTGTTAAATAAATTATTTTCAATCTGTGTGTTGTGTTGTCGTAACTAAAATCACATTTTTTCTATTTCTTAAAATTAATTCATTAATTAGATCTCCATTTGTAAAGTAGTCGAAAACTTCGAGTATCTAAAAGAAAATGAAACTTTTGATTGTATTTTTCTTTACAATGATTGTTGTGGTATTGGGTGGCAAAAAAATAAAAGCCCGACAGTCTAATGAACAGGAACAGACAGATATTGGTAGTGTCGGTCCATTACTCGGCACTGCCGGCAGTAAGGCTAAGGGCTTGATTGGTGCCATCAAATCGGCAGATGAAGACAGCGATGATGATAATGGAAAGGCGACTGAAGAGGACGCCGAGGCTACAACTGGTGCCGGTATGTATAGAAGTGATAGTCAAATAAAATACAATTTTAATTAAGTTTTTATCAATAATAATAATAATTAAAATAAAACAAAAATGAAAAATTCTATAATTGATAATTTCAATTTGAGTTATAGATTGCAAAACAAACAATCAACTCAAACATCAGACATACAATATATAAATCAAATTATTGTTATTTTCATTATCAATAAATTTATTATTTTTGTTTAATTTATTTATTTGACCAAAAAAATCAGTGGACTCGTTATTAGCTAATCCAGCGAAGGCTGCTTTAGGTAAGGCGACAGATGCTAAGGCGGCTGTGGATAAGGCAACTAAAAAAATAAAAAAAACAAAAGATACGGCAAATACGTCAGCCAAACAAAAACAGGGAAAAGAGCAAAAAGTAGTTATGGGTAACAGTAAGGGTGCCATTGCTATCACACAAAAGGACGGACAGATTCAGACAATGTCCGGAACCAGTGGTGATAAAAAAGTCAAGGCTTCCAAAGCAGGCAAACAAAAACAAAAACAATCGCAATCTGTAGTCATTGAATCTGAATAATAATTAAATCAAATATTATATATTTATATTTATTCATCTAATTATAATAATATTATTATTTATTTATTAAAAAATTATTTTTATAATAATTTTTATTATATTAATCTTTATGATTTTATTATATGATTTTGTAAAAATTATTAATTTTAAATGATTAAATTTTAATTAAAATATAATTTATTTTCATTTATTATGTAATAATTATTTTCAAGAAATGTATTATACAAGTATAATAGTTAATATAAATGATAATTATTAATTAAATATATAATAATTAATATTTTGTATATGATATGCTAAACAAACTAATAAACTGATCAGCCATATTGATTAATAACTATTATTATTTTACATTTGAAATATAGAGTAAATTAAATGATTAAATTGCTTAAAAATATTAATTAATTTATAACATTTAAAACGCAACTAAAATCAATACAAAAAATAAAAATGTTTTGTATTTCATAATTATCTATAATTAGAATATATTTGCTTTATTATTATACGGTATTTATTTTTGTTTATTTATGATATATCATTAATTTAATATAATTTATAGCTATTTAAAAAATATATTATATTTGTATAAATAAATACAGAAAAAATATTATTACCCGTAAATACAATTATAATAGAAATTATTATAAATTAAATCTATGAATTTTAGACTATATTAAATACTGTGGCATTTTATTTATTTTTAATGCAGTATAAAAACACAACAATTTTTTTAAATGTTTTGTCAAAAACTTAATATATAATAAATCATGTATAACCACATCCCTGTCCACTTTTGGACAATTTTTTTTTTTGATTTAAATTTTAAACTAAAATATTCTATAAATAATGCTATAGATGAAATTAGACAGCCATAAAATAATATTTTATACGAAAGTTGAACATGGTCAAAATTCAATTTTTCCACAATATCTTTAGTAATTGTATCCGAATCATCATAAGTTGGTTTATTGTAATTTACATTAACATTATTTACAATATTTAACATACCATAAAATTTAATCATATTATTTATATGAAATTCGCGAAATCCATAATTATTAAATATTTGTATTCTGTAAACAAAAAAAAATATTTTATTATTATAATAATAAATTGATATTTTTTTCTTAATTATGTTATTTAAACAAAAATCACTTATAATTAATAATATCATACAATGTTTGTAAAATTTTTTTCATATGATTTGTTAGACCTTTTCTTGTTATAAATCCAGACCAATAAATATTTGAATTCAATGATGTTATGTATAGTGAATATTGTCGATAATAATTATTATAAAGACATTCAATGTGTTCAATAGTATTGATGACCACTTTATTATGATTTAATATCTTTTCAATAGTACTTAAAGCAAAAAATTCATTATAACCTATTTCCTCAAATTTTGACCCTGGTATATTGGGATATGACTGCAACAAAAATATATTTATTAATAAAATCAGTATTATTTTTGTTGTTGTTAGCAAATATTATTTTAATATTAATAAAATTATAAACAACATTACTTTACTTAAATAGCGATACGATAGTGATTTGTCTACAAACAGTATTTTCATATTATTATCGCTAATTAAATCATTTATTGTATTAATTTGATGTAAGTTTCGTGTCATTATAGCTGAATAAATATTATCATTGATAAACTGTATCATAATAAACGATATGAACAGTGCTAACAATATGAGTGATTTTTTATCATAATTTTTTATTTTAATAGCTAGTAATGATATTTAAAAAAAGAGATAAATTTTAGTTATATTTTATAAAAAATTAATTAAAATATAATTATTACAAACCTTTGCCTAAATATATGCTAAAATAGTAAAAAATTATAAATATTAAACATGTGTTTTGATTTCTAGCAATAATAATATTATTTAGATATGTAATCAATATTATCATGAAAAATGTTGTCAACATTAATAGCCAAACAAAATAATGAAATCCATTAATGATTTGTGTAAAACTTTGTATGTTTTCATATGTGGGACAGTATAGTATTGGAGATACAGAGCTCCACATAATCATTGAATTATAGTCGACTATCTGATCCCGTTTGGTGTCGTAACCAAATGTAGTCATTGTGAAGTCAGCCAACTATCCAAATGTTTAAATCAACATATTTATTTAATATTGTAAACTACAATAGCATTTTTATTTATCATATAACCTTTTGTTGAAATAGACCAATCATGCCATTCCAGCTACCGTTCCCCAAACGTACGCCACCAAAATTATCAAATGAAACACTTATGCTAATACTTAATATGCAAATAATTATTAATTTATTAGTAATTAGGACTTAAAATTATAATTAAATAATTTTTTACAAACTTTACTCTAAAGTAATCCCTAAGTATTTTATAAAAATAGAGATTTTTTTGACAAAATATTACCCAATTTTTAGTAATATTGATAATCTATAGATAATAATAATATTTATTAATTAGTAGAATATTTATAATATTATTATTAATCACCTCATTGGGATAAATACCAATAATTAAATGATGAGAATTAATATTATTATTAATAGTGTTATTATGAAATAAATCTTCTTTATATAAATTACCTTGAGCACAATAAAAATTAGACATTTTTATGTATTAAATGTTAGTTATTTATAATATTATTAAATATTTTTTTTAATACAAAATAATCAACACAATGTTTCAAGTAATTTTATATACAGTAAGTTATAAAAAAATAATTTAAACATTTTTTTAATTGTATTTATTGTTAAACATAAATATTATTTGCGAAACAGAAGTAAATTGAAATTATATTTTAATATTATGTAAATATTTTTTATAATTTCATGTAGTATAACAATAACAATATATTGAATATTATTATTTTTATTATAATATATTATCTACTATTATTAATATTATTATTATAACTTTTTTTTTAAATGTAATGTATATTTCAGAAAATATTTATACAATAACTACAATATATCTTTAAATATATTACACTATTGTATACTACTGTATATTATTAATACAGTTTAATAAATACTAATAGATAATAGAGGTTAACATATAGCAAATGATGAATTGCAAAACAAAATTATTTTCATAGTAATAAATATGAAATAAAAATAATAAAAGTGAAAAAACTATTTATTTAAATAAAAAAAAGATTTGCAAATTTGACAACTGATATAAAAACTTATAGAAATTAATTCAAACCAATACTACTTAAATATGTATAATTTTAGTAACTGTCATAATAATCACAACTTTAATCAATAGAAATAATTATATTATTTGTCAACTGTTAATATTAACTGTCAAACTTACTATACAAGAAAACACGTAATTATAATAATATTAAAAATTTTTATAAAAAAAACAATTGGCTATTCAATAATTTTACTTAAAACAATAGTCAATATGATTAATCTTAATAGTAATATTACAATAAAAATAATGTTAATAATTATCATCAGAATAACTATTGAAATATTTTTCATTTAAATACAAATTTCCACAAAACGTCAAATCAAATGATAATATGAGAAATAAATATTTAAAAGTTTTTCCATTACTGCTTAAATAATTATATTATGAATAGAAATATAAAATACATAAACATAAATATTTTTAAGAAAAATTGATAATATACAAAAAATAAATTCTACAAACTATAAAAAATAAAATAATTAACATTAATTTTGTAAATTATTTATTTTATATAATATTTAAATATTAAGCTATAGGTCGACAATAATTTACACAAACTTTTTATTGAATATATGTTATTAATAATTATTGTTATTCTCATATCTTAATTCTGATACTTAAATAATACTGTTTTTTTTATTTAATTGACTGTATATTTGGGTTTTCAGTTATTTTATTATATACCTGTATATTATGTTTATTAAGGGAGTTGTGTTTTAGACGACAATCAGATAGATCTCACAATTTGTTTAATTAACAATATTTAAAACGGTTAATATTACTATTATTATTAGTAGTAGTGTTGGTAAGTTTTTGCAATTTAGCAAAAAAAATTGCTTGAAATTACTTGAAATTGTGCGCATGAGGGATTGTATAAAAATTAACTTTGACAACGTTAAAAATTTGGTTCACCCTAGATTAGATTTTTTTATTTAGTTTTTTAACATTGTTTTTAGATGGCAACATTTATTGTTAAAATAATATAAATTTTATATAATTAATTTTTGTTTTTATACATATTTTAAAAAAATTATAGATGATGCTAGGTTACAATTGCGTTTTTACAATAATTATTTACAGGTATATATCTAATAAAAATATTTAATTATTTTTTACTATCACTACTGTAATGCTAATATTTTATTCAATAAATTAATTAAAAAAATATTAAACTTAAAATATGTGTTAATTATTAATTTCAATCTGTGTTTTAAAAAATAAATATTTTATTTATTAATCAAATCTCCATTTGTAAAGTAGTCTTTGAATACCACAAAAAAAAGTTTTATTAAACAAAATACAGACAAAATATAATGAAAGTCTTAATTATTTTGTTTATATGTGTTCTGCTGTTTGTAGTATTGGACGGCAAAAAAATTAAGACAAAACAAAGTAGTAAACAAGGGATGGAAGTGATGGACAATATCGATGAAAATGATAGCTCACAGACAGATGACAACAATAAGCCCAATAAAAACTCTAATATAATATCCATTTGATAGCAATCTTATAAACAATTGAAGATCCGGACAAAGGGTTTACTCGACAGCAGATAAAATTAAGACATTAGTTTAGATTAAAACTAAAATTGGTTAATATATTATATAAATTTTGTTATTGTAAATATTTTTAATATTATTTATTTAAAGATTTATGTATTATTAATTAAAATTAATTATTATGTTATTAATCTAAATAAACTAATTATTAATTATGATTTTATGATTTAGTATTTTGTGGAAACATAAGTAACAGTATTTTATACATAATGTTTGTGTTCTGTAATATAATATAATATAATTTATATTATTTCATGTACAGATATATTGAAAATATGTA